TTTTCCAACATCAAGTAGTAAACTTGAGTAAAAGACTTGCACAACTCAGTTTTAAAGTAACTGACCTCCAAAGCTGCATATATTACATGCAAAGTAAAGCATCTTAAAGCAAGCCTATGAGCAGGGACTTACAACTACCCAACAGGAAACTCCAAGCACTTCTATTTCATATAGGGTACAGTATGAGAAACAGAATGACATCTACTAGAGATCCCTAGCTTACAGGCTTCTCCTAGTTAGAAGCTGTGTAAGTTTTTCTGAAAAACAGTAAAGGTTATTCGAGTTTGACTCGCAAAAGGAGAAGGGAAAAAAAAAGTGCTAGTGAATGCCTTCCCCTCCTTTATTGCAAGTTGCAGTAGAGGAAACAGGAGACTCAGTCAGTCTCCTCGGTCCAGGAATATCCAAGGAGTATTCAAACAATTTTCAGTAGAAGTCACATCCTACACTGAACTGAAAGCACACAGAACCCAGAACTCCTGGAGTTGTAATCTTCAATAGAAATAAACACACAAATTTACAGTGTCAAAGAGACTGTAACAAAGCAATTATTGGTATCACCACTTATAGGTAGATTTTTGCTGCCCAGAATTTATCTGAAGATTTTGAATATTCAAAACAGTCCTTCAAAGCACAGATGCACCTTTATTATTTCCACTTCCTGATAATCTCTCTCAACTAGCAGTTTTGTACCTTACTGCACCAGTAGCAGCAGTTTCAGTACAGTAGTATAGTTTGGACTGAATTCAATATTAATTTGAGTTACTGAGATTGTCACATTTAGAGAATTGTAGATTACCTAGAATACTACGAAGTGAAAGCTACACCAAAAGCAATGTAGGATTCAGGCTACAGCTGAATCTTTACCTTTGACTAGTGCAGGACAAGACACTGAAGCTGCTCAGCTGCAAGGACCTGAAACCTAATTTATTTCAATTTGCCTACAAAAGTAAGAAATTAATATGAATACGCTTTGCACAGCTGTATAAAATAATGAATGTAAGAGAACAGCAACATCAACAGAAGTCTCTTAATTAAAAGGAAGCTGCTAAACTATGGCAGGCCTTCTGGAACAACATTTCCTTTATGAGAATCTGAATTTTAGCAATAGGAATCTTCCCAAGTTTAAGGTGTTAAGTAGACGTAAGTACTATATAAAAGAAACTGGACCATCCAACAAACACTTATTACTCTAAAAATGAAGTGAAAATGAATAGAAGCTGCCTGCAAGTGTCACTCTGAGAAAATGTCTCATATGATCCTTTGTCCAGACGTGTAATTCATATGAAATTTTGTTCTTCCGAAGCCTTAATTTGAAATTGAAGAGTCTATCGCATAACCACTAAGAGTATGCAAAAGGTAAAAGGAAGTCCCCATGCCTCCCCCACGCCCCCAAAAAGGTAAGGCCAAGTACTCCTCTCATTCATATCATCCCTTTAATTATAAGGAACATTAGTTCTAGAGTATCCACAGAATGGTGCATATTGCAGGAGACAGGAGCACATGGCTACTTATTTCTTTATAGCTTATTATCTGTTCTTGCACAGCATAAATAGCTCTATTTACCAGCTTTGATTTAAAAACACAAGATTATCCAACCTTTCTGTTCAAAAACTGAGGATGGAAGGAGGCAGAAGGGGAGCAGTGAAGTAAAGAAGTGGAAGACAGGAAGCAACACTAGTCTTCAGAGTTTTGCAAAAAATGCTTCCTACAGTATCATAGTGCAATGCTTATGTTTTCCTCTAATGGGCAGCATGGCATTTACTTGTAAAGACTATATAAGCTTCCAGATACAAATGAAGTACACTCAACTTTAACCTGTTAAAGAGTGAAATAAAAATGCTATTTTGAAAGAGTCTTTTTTTAAAGCATCATAAGAGCAATTATAAAATGCATCTACATTTTAAGTTAGAAAGTATTGCTTTCGCTGCTTTTTCCCTTTTAGTAGCAGGAACTTCAATGAAAGTGACACCCAGCCTTTTGCAATGGGAATCCCAAATAACCTAAAGGACCATACTTTTTACCAAACACATGAAAGCTTTTGTGTCCAAGAGAAAGGAGTGGCACTGGATAAGCGCTTATCCATCTTGTGCATAAACTCAGTAATGTTCGTGCAAATACAGATGAAAACAGCACAGGCTTGGTATGAGCAGTTACATAATTTCTCCAGTTTTCAAAAACAACAGACAATACAGGATTTTGATTCTGAAATTTATTTTTAGCAGGATGTGCGCTAATGGAGGGTGACATCATTAGAAGATACGTCCATGTCCACCATCTGCAATAGAAGCTAGACAGACATTAAATAAAACAGTTTAAAGAGACAAAAATGACACTACTTACCCAGAGCAGAGTTATGACAGCCACCTAGCAAACACTATGGTTAGCTTTCTGTGTGGACACAATACCCTTTATTATTCACCTGTGGTCAAAGTCTTCTGTCAAAATTTAGTATCACATACACTACCTTGACTTTTATGGAAGTCATGAAATTCTGTTTAGATATAAACAACAACATCTCTTATTTTAAAATACATTCACACAAAAATAGGTTATTTGAGGTCACTTACCTTACACTCAACAAGAATTCTCTAGGATTTTAAATTCTAATACTGTTAAACCAGGTCAATGGCATGTTATATTTCAAGATTCTGCTAACACAACCAGTTGCTTCTTAGCATACCTGGGTTTAATTAGACAATCACATAGTGTATTAACAATATAGTGACACATATGTGATAAGTTCAGAAAGAAAAAAAAAAAAATGACAAATTATAACCTAGAGACACTGTTATACCCCAAAAAAAGTCAAGTTGCAGCTTTCTACTGAAGGAAACCATCTTATCTAGAACTAAAGAATTTTTACCAGAAGTCAAGTTTGACACACAAATACTAGGAACAGAGAGTTTAAGGAATATATCTTCAAAAAAATAGGTGACAGGCCCTTCTCCAATTCTATTTCGAATGAGAAGCCAAAAAGGCAATGCTGAGTCTGAGGCATGGTGTTCTCTAAGTCTATAGAAACCAAGTTTATGTTTCAGAAAACAAAGGATTAGATGGGCATTTGACTATAGGTAATTGGCATTTATCCCAGAAGATAGCCATTCCATAAAAATGGAGAACAAAAATTCTGTCAGCAAACGCTGACATAGTCTAAATTTGAAGTGTAAGATCCAGATATCAGGCACCAAATCAGGCACCAATTCCCAAGCTTGGAAGCGGCCACATGTAGCGAGCACTAGGAAACAAACAAACAAAACAAAACAAACAAACAAACAAAAAAACCCACGAAACTCACACACCTAAACAAGTCTAGAAGTATGATTTTAGGTTCTTTCTTATAGTCTCCTGACTTACAGACCTAGTAGAGCCTTAAGCCAACACCACCTTATCTTAAAGGTCTTCGTTAAGAACTTGCATTTATAACTCGCTAAGGAGTGTAAAAAGATTCTTTCCATCTACCTCAATATTCTAGACTTAATTTGTTTAGAACAGACTGTTAACTGTTACTGAACACGCAGCACTCACATTGTATAAAGCATCTAAAACTAGTCCAAAACCAGAAGTGTGCTGTATTCTCTTACACAGAACTCTGGTCTACTGATAAGGAGAAATTAAACTGTCTTATTTTCTGAAGCAAAAAATAAGTATTCTATTCACAGCTGCACGCTGTTTATAATTTCTGATGCATCAAGCTCTCTGGTTTCTGGAAGGATACGTCTGAAATAAGTTACCACGCTTGAATCAGTTCACTATCCTAATAGCCTACACCTAAATAGGCTGCAAGTACAGACAGTTATCTTCTGCAGAAAACTGCAAACATCTTATGACAACAGTCCCACATTAGTACTGTGGGAATCTGTCTTTTGAACACATCACAAGTTCACACAAATAGGGAAAGCATGGCAAGTAACTAGAAACTTAAAGCTTTCTAGTTACATTGTGCCATGGGATCAGATGCTTCTGTGATCATCACTACACTGTAGTATCTATTTTAATTGAAGTTGGCAGGTATCCTTCACTCAGATGAAATAAACACAAGCTCTGCAGTAAGAACTTTCATCAATCATCTCTGTAAGGCACAGAGCAAAGGAAGCAAATCAAAAAATATGATTAGTCAGGGAATGATGAAATTGAGCTGACCTCTTCAGAGACACTGTGAGCATTATTTTTCTGCACTAAAAAGCCTGAATGAAAGTTTGAAGTTATAAAAAGGGGAAATTCACAGGAGTGAATAAAGGTTTTTATAATAGGCCTGTGCAACCTGAAAGGCAATTCATTTGTGCACCATGCAAGAACTACATGCACACTGCAGTTACAGCCCACTACAACTGCAGAGCTACCTTGCCTTACAAGGAGATACAGCTTCAATTCTCTTCCTGCAATACCAAGATACTCATGTCTAAAAGTGGCGACAAGGGACTACAAGTCTCAGTGCGAAAGACACTGCTAACCAGCTGTGTTAAGAGGCTGAAGCACCTAAAACGTTTAATTTTATTTTACTAGGTTTAATAGAAGCTTGAATCAAGTTAGGTTATGCAGAAATCAGTTAAATTCTTAAAAGCAGCTTCAAAAAAACTCACCTCTGTCAGTGAAGCTTTTCCACAAATAAGGATACTTAATTATGTGCTATAAGTTTAAGTAAGACATCAATGATTAAGTGACCAAAATTTGCTACACGGAGAATTACGTTTGTACCATTCACAATAAGACTAACTGCACTGGTTGAATTAAGTCTCTTATCTATTTTTCCTCATGTTCAGTTGTCATTATAAAGACAAATCCTGAAGTGACTGCAACTGTTACAACTGTACTGCTATCTAACGTTGAACTGGTTTAATAGTTATAAAATACCAAAGCCACAGAATTCCTGTTAATATGCTGGAAGCTAAGACCCAGGAGAGATGATTAAATATTTACCTTTGGAGAAAAAAGGTGTTTAAACCAACTATTTACAAACTCCAGCTTTAGTGAAGAATGGACTAAAACAAAATGTTACGCACTTCCAGCTTTTGTTCTTTCTCTGCAAGGAATTCTTTTTGACATCGTAGAAAGTCTGATAACATTCGAGTTAGCTGTTTTCTATCATCTATTTCAGCTGCCAACCTGCCATTGTAATCCGCCAGCAACATACATGCATCATCTACCATTTTGGAAAGTTGTTCCCCAGATTCCTTATCTAAAAGGCAAGCAGAGAGAAACAGGTAAAGCAAGATTTCGTTGTATGTTTTTAAGTTCTCATAGCAGCGTTTCAGTTTCTGGTTCTCCAGACCTCACCTGTTATTCTGTCTAACAGTGAAACATCCTGGACCTCTACAGGCAAAGAAGCTATCCTCTGATGAACTGCTGCATCCCCAGAGGCAGCATTTTCTAGTTCTTGTAATGCTCTAATAAGATCTGTTGTCTGAAAAAAGCATGCAAGATTGAGAGCTAGTTTATACCAATAAAATCAAATAAAAAACAATTCTTCATAGAGAGCTTACAGAACCCATTTTGGCTTATAAGCATTTACAATATCAGCATTATAACACTGTCTTATCTCAGACTGTAAAAGATATAAAATAGAGATTAATTCTCAGTACATCATTATATTCTTAGTTTTAAAGGTCACCTCCCTAAAACAGATTTATATTTAAATTCTTGCCCCAGGACTAGTTATTAATCTTGTATTTGGCACTAATGATCACTTTCCAGTACCATTCATTTTACCATGTATTTTAAAAATAAATAGTTATTTAACTTTCTTGTCGTTTTGCTTCCGAGCTCCAACCTGTAATGAAGCATATCAAAATGAAGTTTCAGGAAGCAAGGTGAGCAGATTGTTCAAAACACTTTAGTAGATTAAACCTTGCAAGCGTATACTGAATAATGAAAATTTTTATATATATAATCACACCATTTCAAAAATTCACAGTTCCCTTACATTGCCCAAACATTAATGTTAAGCTGTCTTTTCACAGAAGAACGAAGACGTCCAGCACCAGGTACCTTCAGGAAACAAAATGTTTCCATCTCACCTTGCAATAAGGAGGATGTTCGGATATGCAAAAGTATAGCAGTCTCTCCTTAGGAGACTAATACAGATCACAAAGTACAACTAAGCACAGCACTGGGGAAATTTTACATCCTATCAGGGAATATTAGAATCGCCAGGACCCAGATAGGGATGTAATCACCCTCACCATAATTTTCTAAACACTGAGCAGTGATCCAGCCCATAAGAAATATCTCATTACAGAGGAGAAAAAACAGTATTCAGAAATAAGAGCAATTGAAAAACTGTATATCGAGCTATATGACATTTGAAAATTTTATAAACACACTTTTACCTGTGGAGGATCAGTGGGAGAACCTCGAGGTGAACAGTTATTTTCATCAACTTTGATCTGTTCGTAAGTACGCTTCCGGACCTTTCTGTCTCCATCTAAATTGAAAGAAACAGAAGAGTCAAGGAAATAACATTTCAAGCAAGAGACTGAATCTTCATGCATACACAAAATACTTACATAAAGCTTGCCTAAGTTGTTCTAATACATCATTTTCATAAACAGACCTTTCTTCCCAGATAGAGAGTACTCTGCCAAGGTGTTTTTTACAACTCTCATCAGACTCACTGTTACAAAACAAAAAAGAAAGTCAGCACTAGATCAAAGCAAAATATAATCATGCCTGCAGCAATGGTTATCCTTTACATAAGGATCTTGGCATGCTTTACAAATACTTAAATAGCCTCAAAAAACAACAAAAATGAATTTTGCAGAAAAGAAAAAGACCAGTCCAACACATCCCAGCAAACAAACAAAAGATCCCAATGCCCAATCCTTCTCTCTCCTTGTGTTCAATATATAAATCTGTCTGTATCCCTATTATGCAATATTATGTAAATAGCCTTGCCTCAATACAAGACTCTAGAGTAGAAAAGCAGTATTTTAAAATTCAGTTTTTGAGACTAGCATTTTGCTCCTGCAATGAGATATATGACTGCTAAGGGAATGAAACATCATGCAAAACTAGTAATGGGAAATACCAATCTAACTCATTAATGTAAACTGAAAAGTCATGATTAAAGGCATAACTAATGGCTTTAAGGCAAAATGGACTGAATGCAGATAAATTTATTATATACCTTTAACAGCATCATAACTAGTCAAGATCAAAAGAACTATGAGTAAATTAAGATTTCAAGTACAGAATTAACACATGAAAGCAGGCTGGGCCAGAAGGGATGAACTGAGGACTTCTCCAACTCCCTCCTCTCCTTTAAATATAATATGAATTATATTGCAGATAGCATAGTTTACCATACCTTGAAACATGTTTAAAAGCCTCCACTATTACTGGAGCAAAATCTTTTGTAAATTCTGGTCCTTTTCTTTTGCTGTTCTGTATAACATCATTGGCCAAGTACAGGAACGTCAGCTTCCTATTTGGTTTTGCTAATAAAAAGTGATAAAAAATAATTAGAAGATTATTCCTCCAATAAACACCTAGTTTTTTCTTATGCTAAACACAACAACCAGATTATATACATCTTTCCAAATCTCACAAATTCTTACATTTCATTTGAATTGCGTGTATATACATATTTTATATTTATATATGCATATAAATCCGCAAAGAGTTCAGTCATACTTTGTCTTACTCTTACAACATTTGGCTCAGATTCTTCCACTTTCGCAATGACTCAAGTTTCCTCTATCACCAAAAGTGAATAGAAGAAAACAATAGTCTGCCTGCCAAAGTATTCTTCAGCCCCCAGCTATTTTCATGTTTTTTCCAGAGCCCGATTTGTCCATTGACAGCCTTCATGGATTTCTCCTAAGTAGCTCTGCTTCCCTTTCGACCTGCATAAAACTTAGTCCTCTAAAGTTTTACCAGCCTACTACCACTCACATGAAGGAAAAAAAAAAAAAAAAAAAAAAAAAAAAAAAAAAAACGCCCACACAGCTCATTCTGATTTAAATTTCACCCTCCTAACCTTTTGCAACCACCCCACATTCTTCTACTTGAAGAGATCGAAGAGTCAAATCCTAACTCAACCTCTCCAACTCACTTGTAGACAAGAATGATACTCCCCTGCCTTGCCTCCTACCAAAACATTTACGCACCTGCAGCTATAACCTCAAGACAACTTTTTCAAAAACCACTTTCAGACTTTATCGTATAACTTTTTCCAAAGCATCTTAAGCATTTCACCCCAATTCCGTTAACTTGCAATAGAACACAAGCTTCCAACTTTACACTACTTTCAAAAACACATTCCTTGTTCCCATTTTCATTTTGCCACACTTCACCTAATCTTCAATAGTCAAGAGCCTTCTCAGAGCTGCAGCTCCTAATGAATCAAGTATTCTTTTGTATTACCCGAGGAACCTCAACTTCTGTTACCTCCTCCCCGCTCCCACCCCATAATCTCAGTATATACACTCCCACTTCACTAAAATGTTTGTCTCAAGACAAAGGGTTTAGTGTTTGCAGCCCTTTCAGGGGAACCAGAACTATGGTACAGCCAAACTAGCACTTCAGTGCAGCTCCTAACATGATTTGTCTTCAATAAATTCCTCTCCAACCTCTCAAGCATACAGGAGAACCATCCTCTCTAAAACGAAACTTCAGTATTGATACTTTCACTCCACGCAACGGTTTCCGAGTATAAGTGCAACAGAAAGACTTCTTTGAAAAAATTCTGGTTAGACTATTAAATATCATTCTCTTGGACAGACACATCAAGAATTTCAGAGGTCTGGATTAAGTGAAAATATGCTCTATTAACAGCAGAAATGTATGAATCCATTAAAAATGAGTTAACAACCTAAAAAAAAAAAAAAAGATAGCAACTGCTGAACAACGTGTTTCTATTAAAGTCAGTCAAGCTACTACATGAACAAATCCAAGATGCTCATTTACTCAGGTCAAAATTTGACCTGATCATCTGGCTTAGTTATGCTTCAACATTCTAAAACCAGAATTCATAAAAATTTAAAATGTTATGTATATTAGGTACACATACATTTCTATGTTAGAGTGAATAAAAATATGATAACATCCATGTGTTCTGGGTAATTCAGAATTCTAACACACAAAGCCTTGAATTTGCGGCCCCTAGAATTCAAATAGAGAATCTAAGAAAAACAGGTCATTTCAGGCCTGTAGGAACATCAGAGCAGCTATTACTAAAGCCACCTCCCCCCACATCCTTTTCTCTCCCACATTTCTTAAAGGAACCCAGAGTTAGGGCTCCAAATCAAATTAGGCATCCCGTCCCTCTGGATTGCATGCATCTTAGGTTCTCATTTGACAACTGCACAGAAAAAAAACACAAACAAAACAAACATGATTCAGTCCTCAATGATGAAAAGCCTCAACTTTCTTGCTCCAACTTTTTCACCTGCTTTCCTACTTACAGGAAGCAACCAAATTGTATGATTGCATAAAGACAGCAGATGTCAAAGTCAAGTGAAGCTGATTCTGAGAAAGTTGCTCTGTCTCTCACTATAATAGAGATTGATATCACATCTGGAGAAGAAATGCTAAAACTCAGAAGCTTGTTCAGTAATATCTTTTTGGTTTCCTCCAACTACTCAATTAAAATAAAGTTACATTTAATGGAAAGAAAAACCTCACACTGTTAAACTACCAAAGGCTTTGGTATGAAATTCAACTAACATTCTATCACTATATTTATAGAGAAACTTGTGAACCAAAATTTATGCTATAAGAATATATAGCACAAAATTCCAAGGATAAATTTATGCCTAATCTTACAAAGTGTTCTTTCCTGTATCTTCAGGAATTATATGCTGGTTACTGCAGCTCTGCCTTGCATACAAGGCTTCGGTGCTAGAAAATCTTTAGCAATCAATGTTGACAATTGAGGTGATAAATCCCAAATTATGTCTTTAAATTAACTACTGTGGTTTCAAATCCAAAATTAAATACCAGACCATATCTGTACTAAAATTTCTTTAAAGAACTTCAGTAGCACCGATACTAACTTTTTGGTTCTGGGCTTCGATATACCTCAGAACACAGAGATGGATCAAACAGTAAGACTACTTTAATAACAGAAGAGTTAGTGCTTGGCTAGTCTATTAGAGAAAAGCTGTTCCTGTTGAAAGAAAGACTGAAAAATACAGATAAGACCTTTGGTTAAGAAAGGATCTAAAAGGCACACACTACTAGTGCGCAGTGTTGGGAGTTAGCCCACAATATCATTGCTGCACTACCATTGCAGCTGCACACACAAACCTCAGATGGATCCATGTCCAACAGACTCACACTCTCTTAATTTCTGTACTGTTTTTTTTCCGTTTGTTTCAGTTATATTTCCCACTTACCCAAGTCATGATCAAGTACAGTCAAAGGTTAGATTTCTCATTTACTGAAGCACAAAGCTCCCAGAAACACTGAATTCGAAAATATTTTACAACATCAATTGTACTGGCTGGGATAAGAGCAATTTTACACAGATTCTTCTTAATAGCCTTCTTAGAAATTGACTATTTAACAGCACCTACAAGGAGAGGTTATTAGCATCGGCACACAAAAGTTTTCAAAAACAGTCTGACATTTAAATGACAAGGACTACTGTGGAGGAACTCACTCCATTTCCAAGCAGGGTAATCAGCTATCTCTTCTAGAGACTTGGCATGTTCGTTGCCAAGTCTTAGCTTTTAGAAATATACACCTTTTAGGAATGCCTATTTGTTAATCTGGCTAGAGCATCCCCATTTTTTCCTTGAAGGCTACAGATACCCTGCCACTCCCGTACAGGAGAACTGTAACTCTTAAGAATCACCACTTTAGTGCAAGCAAACCTGGAAAGCACTTCACCAGTAAGACAAGTGTACCATTCTTGCAGATGTTAGCCATGTAATCACCCACATTTGTCTTCAGGTTTCATCATTTACAAAGCTTTACTGCATGGTAATAGAAACTCATCTCCTACTAGGATACCTAGAAACACATCCATTTATTTTATGCTGTTCATAATCTTTTTCCTAGAGATGAGAGAGGTATTTGTTATCCTAGACCTCCTGGAGAAAAATAAAATATGTGAACACTTCATTTGTACCCAACTGCAAATGAATACTATTGACCCAACTGAAAACATAACTCAGGTTTCAATCATCTACAGGCTATCCCTGCTATTCCAAATGACCTTGAAGGAAAATACAATTTAGTAAGAGGTTTAGAGAAAATAGGTATTAGTAGGTTTTAAAAACCTTCATCAGTGAATAGCACTAAATTATAAAATGCCATCAGAGGCAGCCTCTTACTAGGTTTCAGAGCAAATCCTCCTAGTATTTTCTAGTTTACTTTTTACTAAAGTGCTCTAATTTAGACTCAGTTTTGGCTTAATCATTTTAGAGTACATTAGTCTACATACATGCCACAGTACAAAGATAAGAGCACTTCTCCCAAAATCCTTGCAACACTTCGTGTGCTCCATAACTTGGCATCAGAAGCTGCATGAGAAGCTTGCATACACTGGGCAAGCTTTCAAGTTTTCCATTACACAAGGCCCAACTTGTCTTTTCTAGAGGCAAGCAGCACTGAAACTTGACTGCAAGACCACTCACCCCTCACATTAAGAGGTAATCTGAGTTTTTATATAATTTAAGTACAGGTTTTCTCAAAAGGTGACTTTAGAGTATATCTTAAGAACTTGAGAAGCTATCATCAAGAATGGGTGATTCACAGATAACCCAGCAGAAGCATATTGTGCAACAAGCATTTTAAAAAAACTTAAAGAACTTTGAGTTTTTTATGAAAAGTTAGGTCAAGTGCTCAGTACTGTCCCAGTCATCTAACTTCCATCGAAAAATTCACCAAGGCTTGAAAATTACCTTGTTTGCATTCGAAAGAAGGGAAAGCAATAGAACACAGACTACCCACCGAATTTAAGAGCATGAGGGTCTAGATACCTTGACTTTGGAGGCTAATAATCAGAGCAAACATAGTATATAGGCATTGCTGGCAAAGAAGCCGCCAGCATGTAACTACCACAGGAAAATGAAAAAAAAAAGGAATATAAACCTTTCTAACACAGTTATTCTGCACAAGCTTCCCAAAGCACTTAAGGCATCCTGAAGCAGTGGAACACACAAATTAGAGCAATTCCACTCTTCATCTGGCCTGGTACACCACAAGATACCAATCAGCCAAATATCAACCAAAATTTAGTGTTTTTTCCCCTATATATTTCCTTATATATTCAGAACCAGAATGACAAGATCCAGTCAGGTACTGGTACTAGGACACTACTGGCACAATCCTAAAGGCATATTGATTCATAAACCCTGTGCTCTTTCAGCACTAACAGCAGAGTACTTCACAAGAAAGGTTGTATTACGTATCCAAATGCAACTATTTCAAGTGAAAGCCTCTAACAAATGCCAATTCATTGCTCATGATGACACATCATTTTGTAAAG